AGTCGGCGAACATATTCACATTCGAGCAGGCGGAATTGTGATCCTCGAGACAGTCACGAGTCACGAGTTCAAGCTTCCTTCCTCCTCTCCAAACCTCACCACCCGCACGCAGCTCTCTTCCCTCTCGATCTCAGTAGGCCTCGACCTACAACGAAGTATTGCACTTGTCGGCCACAGGTTGTTGCGAGTGCATCACCATTTCACTCGCATCGCCATCAGACTATCGCGCTATACGACGAGGCAGACTGGGCCACCATGAACGACGTGCTCGCACACTCGCAAGCCTGGGTGAACGGCACCCTGACCAACCTCATCAACCCACAGACTGCAGTGTATGCTGCTGATCTGTATCAAGGCACCGATCCTCTAAAGCTGAACTTTGCAGAGAGAGCATGGATGGACTGGTATCTGTACTGGGGCAACCCCATCCTTGCCACCGGTATCATGAGCTTTGTGCTGCACGAGGTGAGTGGGCCTCCATGAAGGGAGCTCGCTGTCGCAGCAGACCTATCGCATGCCGGTGATTTGCCGATAGCGAAGCGCTGACGCCCCTCGTCCATACACCACGCAGCTCATCTACTTTGGTAGAGCTATCCCTTGGATCATCATCGATTCCATGCCTTCCATGCGCAAATACAAGTTGCAGGAGGACCGCACACCAACCCCGGAGCAGCAGTGGGAATGCACAAAGTCCGTGCTGCTCAGCCACTTTACTGTGGAGTTGCCACAGATCTGGAGCTTCCACCCGATCTGCGAATACTTCGGCATGGCCACTCACTCGGTGCCATTCCCTTCTATTTTGACCATGCTATGGCAGATCGGCATCTTCTTCGTCTTCGAGGATACCTTTCACTACTGGGCACACCGCGCCTTGCACTGGGGTCCTTTGTACAAGCACATTCACAAGAAGCACCACGAGTTCAGCGCTCCTTTCGGCCTGGCCGCTGAATACGCTCATCCTCTCGAGGTGTTCATCCTGGGCTCAGGCACGATTGGAGGACCCTTCTTGCTTTGCGCGCTCACGAAGAACTTGCACATTCTCACCGTCTACGTATGGATCGTTCTGCGCTTGTTCCAAGCCATTGATGCCCACTCCGGCTACGACTTTCCCATCAGCCTGCACAACTGGATGCCGTTCTGGGCCGGGGCTGATCACCACGACCACCACCATATGGCCTTCGTAGGCTGCTACTCTACCAGTTTTAGGTGGTGGGACCACTTCATGGGCACCGACTTGAACTACAAGCGTTACCGCGCCCGCCAAGCCGAGGCAAAGAAACAAGCCAAGGAGCAAGGTCTGTCTTGGCCCACGAAAGAAGCCACCAAGAACGCAAAGGGTATGCCGCTCAAGAAGAAAGCTGAGTGAACAAGCTCCCTGCAGGGTTGCCCAATCGATTCGAAGTGCGTCCATCTGCGATGAGATCGTCCCCCAGAGATCGCCTCTACCACTTGGCTCCACGAATACCCTCAGCCACTTCAGCTGCTCTTTGATCTCTGCGACATCAAATTCTCGGGCGGGCCTCGACTGAGATGACCACATCTCAGCACCTGCCATCGCACCCGCTGGCGATCCACTTTTGCAATAGACCATGTACATGCCAGTCACCCTCCCCTCCCCCACGCTTTAATACACAGTTCACCTTCATTTCGTCCCGAGACAAGCGGCTGGCGTGCGTGTGGCTGTCCGACAAAGTGCCGCAAAGTTGCGCCGCATCTTTCAATGGCGAGCCCTGTTGTCCCTTCAAAGCTGATCGTAGCCAAGCACTTGACAATTTCGTGCCTCGCCCCGACATTTGCAGTTTGACGCCAGCCAACATGGCTGTGGGACATTGGGACATGCTTAAGACGACTCAAGCAGCACATTCATCAAGCAAGGGGCCCCTGATTCACAATAGAGCATGTTTCTGCCACTTCACAAAACGTTCCGAGCTCATCACGTCACATCGGAACCAAGTTCCGCGCCATGATGGCTCTGAGACTAGGAAAAGCCGTCTGATTGGTTGGCAAATGAATTACAGATGGGGGAAGTGCGAGCGACTCACGAATCGAACGACTCCTAGGACGACGCGTGTAGAATGTTTCAGTCAGCGTCTCGTATTCTGCCCTGAAGCAGATCTGTCAGTGTGACAGCCTGTCAAGTAACACAGATCCCACTCTAGCTCTAGATGACAATTCGTCCACTTGACCGCTGGCAAGTCGTGTTCTGGCAGTCCTCCTGTGAAGAGCAAGACGGCTCGCAAATTGTTGCCCCCAAGGCCTGAGTCGCGCCCCTGTGAGCGAATTAGGCAGGCGGCCCAGTGAGGGATTTGATTAACCTTGCTGTAGTAGAGGCGATAGTGACAGGCAATTGCAGCGATGCTATAAGAGGATGCTCATGTGGCGAAAGATGTCAGAAACGACGCACATCTACCTGATGATCTGCGTTCGCGTCTCAGTATAAGGACCATCATTACAATCGCACCAATATGTCGAACGACAACATTGGGGCAGCAAAGGTGAGCCTATGCTGAGCAGCTTTGCGGTCGCATGTCTCGAGCCTCAAGATTGGCTTCCATTTGTCTTCGCATTAGTCCATTTTGATCACAGGCTGCTCCAGAGATGGCTTGGGGTACGAGCTCGCCAAGTCTATGTTCGCCGCTGGATGGATAGTGATAGCTACTGCAAGTTTTTCTCGGCTCCGCTTGATCTGAGCGCTTGCCCGAACTTGTTCGAGCTGACTGGTCTCTGTATCACCAGGCTCGCGATATGACCAAGCTTGAAGGACTCGCGCCAGGCATCCTTCGAGTGGAGCTCGATCTCATCGATGCAGCTAGCGTCCGTCGTGCCGCCGAGAAAGCTTTAGCACTCAGTCATGGCCGAGTTGGTAAGCACGACTTCGAGCGTCGCTCTCTTTGCGTGCTGATAACCGACCTAACAGCAAAATTGATCCTGTCCTCTTGCGCAGACGTCATTGTGCACAACGCGGGCGTCAAAATCCTGGTCCCCTTGATCGAACAGACTCAGAGGCAGATCGCAGAGCAGTCGAGATTAGCGGTACGTTCAACCGCAGAAACTGGCTGCCAGACTTCTGCTGATCATGACCTCACAACGACCAGATGGAAGGACCTCTCCTCCTAACGCAGGCGCTTATTCGGCCACTTGTGGACCACGGGGACGGCCAAGTGATCTTCATTGGCTCGAGCAGCGCGTGAGAAGCTCGCAGCCTCTCTATGTCCGTCTGCAGCTGAGAGTCCATTGTGCTCGACCTTCTACCAGTTGGTGTCCAAGTCCGGGCGCCGGGGGATACACAGTCTTGAAGGCCGCTCATCATGCCTTGTCAGATGCGCTTCGCGCAGAACTTCGCCCCTTTGGTGTCGACGTCAAGGGTGGGTCGCAAGCAGGGCTTGCGCGCGAAGTTCACGAGTCGTCTCCTGACTGAAATTTCTGTGCTGCCTGCTCGAGTGCGCAGTTCTGCGCTTGGGTGCAGTGAACACACAGCTTTTCAAAGACGTCCAAGACCTCCCGTCCACGTCGCTTTATGCGTGAGGAATGAGCAGTGACTCCTTGATGCTCCATTTGGACCAGACCACATGCAGATACAGTTCCATTTGCCCGCGCCATAAGCAAGGCCGCCGATCTTCCACGCAGGACTTTGAAATCTTTTCTAGCTATGAAGCCCATAGAAGTGACCGTGGCTAGCGATTGGCTAGCGTCAAGGATAGTTGCGGGCGACGCAAAGAATTACGAGTATTTCGGGCCAAGCGCGCGTCTAATGGGCCTCGCGTACTATTTCAAAGTGCGTTCTCGGATGGGCGCCATACCGCTTCGAGATGAGGCTGACTCGCGCTAGGTCCTGCTTTTTGACCTGCATCTGATGCAGCGAGACTTCTTGCCAAACCTTGTCGCAAAACGCCATGGCTTGGGCAGGGTCGAGACTTCCCAAGCTATCGCAAGGCACGGCAAACGGTACTGAATAGAGATGCGACTGTCATGCATCGACAATCGCTGTCCCTGCCACCCGAACGGTGCATTGGTCTTGGGTAATTAGATCCACGTTCCCAGACGGCATCAGCTTGAAGCTTCTCTCCAAATGGCGCTTGCCCGAGTCTTCCCGTGTTCTCTGCCAATGTACCAGTCACAAAGCTCCCTCTCGTCGTTCTTGAAATGGGCTCCAGCTTGCTTGAGAAGCCTAACAGCGTCCACATGACCGCATCTAGCGGCCAAGAAAAGGGGAGAATGTCCGGCCGAGTCGCGCAGATGAACGCTAGCACCGGCATGCAACAGCACTGACATTGACGATGTGTGGCCGCGCGCTGCGGCGACATGTAAAGGTCTTAAAAATTCGAAGGGCGCCGAGGTGACCTCGTCGTGCTGCTTGACCTCACAAGGAAAGTGATGCGCCATGTGCAGCTCTTCGGACCTTGAAGATGGCGATGCGCCGAGATGAAAATTTGCGGCGCTACGATGCGTTCTAAAACTCGCCACTAGCTCTTCGGAAGCGTTGGCGGCCTGTCTGGCCTCGTTGGATGTCGCCGGCATGCATTCTTCTTGGAGAAATGCCAAAGAATCGAGATGCCATTGCAGCATCTCGGCATCGTCCCTCGTTGCACAATCATGAATCAGATAAGGCAGGACTTTCATCGAAGCACTAGCAGCTTCGTGTGTCTCTTTGCTGTCAGAAGAATTTAGTCCAGTGCGACCCGCCGCGGAGCTGGAGTGTACTTCAGCGCTCTTGGTCTCCACTTGGTCGGTTTCGTGTGTCTCGAGCTTGTCAGGTCTTTCGAGAATGTGAGCCAGCAGAAGCTGTACGTCCGCGTGAGGTTGGGTTCTGGCCGCGCCGGAAGAGTCGTGTGCAGTTGTATTCCAGCTCGTGAGACGCCGCCTTTGGTTCGATCGTTCGGTGATTTCTCCTCTCAAAGATCTGCTCATATATTTACGAACTTGATCTGGCCTCAGGTTGGGCTTGGCGAGCAAATATGAAAGCTTCGCAAGCGCACATTCTGGCGTCATGTCTCCGCCTGGCACGACCCCAACCTGTTCGAGCTTCTTGCCCGTGGCGTAGATCGCCGACACCTCTCCTTGCAGGCACTGCGTAATGTTTACTATGACCAGACCCCTCTTGGAAGCGCGGTCGAACACTTGCAAAAGGTCTGCTCGTGACGGGGCGTTCCCCGCTCCGTACGATTCGAGAATCACGCCCCGAAGGGGAGGTGCGAGGAATGACTCAACAGTCCGCGTTTGCAGCCCCGGAAACAAGCGCAGCACAGCGACGTCTGAGCACATAGATCCGTACGCTCTGAAAGCGCTCACATCGCGCGATCGCTGAACTAGGCTCCAATTAACGTCGACGTGGATACCGACACGGGCAAGCGGCGCCATATTTGGCGATTCGAAGGCTGCTAAGGAGTTGTTGGAAGTTTTCGAAACCCTATTGCCACGATAAAGCATCGAC